GATAAGAGTCTCTTCTCTAGATTCTAGCTTGGCTTGAACACTCTCTAAATCCTCCATTAACTTAGTGATGAACAATTTGGTCTTGCTATCCAAATTTTTAGTTATGTTATCAATTTCTTCATCACTAGTCACATTATCACTAGAGTAATCATTTGTATCACTACTAGATGTGTCACTAGGGGGAGGATGTTTGGATTTGGATTTGGATTTGGATTTGGATTTTACCTTCTTACCCTTTGCCATGAGACAAATATAAGGGGAGTAGTAGTCATCATCGGGCATGTGGTTGAAGAGCCTTGGTGTGGAGGATGTCTTGTGAATAGCCACGGTTGCAATCTTCTCATCCTCCTCACTTGAGCTATCTTTTGTTGAATCCCATTCATGTCCAATGTGAGCCTCTCCCATGTGCCTTTTGCTCTTTTTGTAGTCGGTCTTGCTCTCTTTCTTGTCTCTCTTATAATTGTTGTCTTCAATTTCATGAGGACAATGAGCAATGAGATGTTCGGTGCTTCCATAGTTGTAACATAGCCTTTTCTTCTTGTTTGGAAACTTCCTCTTCACTACTTTGTAGCCTTGCTTTTTGAGTCCCTTTTGATATCTTCTCAAAAAGAGAGCGACATCTTTCACTTTCTCACATTGTTCACTATCACTTTCATCTTCACTTGATGATGTTGTCTCTACTTCTTTGACTTGCTTTGGTGCCTTGGGCTTGCTAGTTGATGCTTGCTTGTTGGACTTAGACTTGTTTGTAGAGGGCCGCTTGGTTGACTTGTTGGCTTTGAGAGCTACATCATCGTTGATCTTGATGCCTTCTAGCTTTGCTTGCAACTCACCAAGCTTCTTTCTTTCATTTGCTTCTTATCTTTGCATGTCAAATGTCAAGATCCTCCCAAGTACATCATTTGGTGTGAAGTACTCAAACTTCTTCTTGTCTCTAATTAGAGTGACTATGGTCTTATTTCTTGGTGAATAAGCTTCCAACATAATTTTTACCACCTTATGATCATCTAGTTCATCACAACCATAGCCTCTAATCTTGCCCACCATGGTCATCAACCTACCAAACATCTCTTGTGGCCCTTCTCCATCCAAGATGACAAACCGGTTGAGCTTGGACATCATCAAATCAATTCATGCCTTCCTCACTTTTTTTATGACAACCTTGCCTTCCTCACTTTGTCAACCCCTTCATGTGCAAGATGCAAAGTGTCCCAAATTTGCTTGGCAACATCCACACCAATCACTCTATTGCACTCATCACCATCCAAAGCACTAAGCAACATACTTGTGGCTTGACCTTTGAGATAAATGATTCTCATCTCTTCTAGTGTTGGATTCTTGGGATCAGCTGGTGGCTCAAATCCATTGCAAACAACTTCCCAAATGCCAAGATGAAGACCTATAAGATAGGCTCTCATCAAGTGCTTCCACTTGGCAAAGTTAGTCCCATCGAAACGAGATAACTTGACCACGGGCACATTGATGAAAGACTTGTGATCATGGTTAGTCATAGACATAGAAGAATAGTTAAAGGATACAACAACATATTTGTTGTCGTTGTCCTTCTTGTCCTTTCCTTTCTTGTTCTTCTTGCTATACACTTGGTAGGACTCATCATCATCTCCATCTTTGGAGCTGCTAGATAGCTCACTTGAAGATGCATTGGAGGCTTTTGCTTCTTGTTCTTTATTCTTTCTTGCTTCTCTTCTCTTCCTTCTAGCTTCTTTCTTGAGCTTTATTTCTTCTTTTCTTGCTTTCTTGTCTTCTAACCACTGCTGCTCCTTCTTCTTCTTTTCTCTTGCTTCTCTTTTGAGCTTTCTTGCTTCTTTCCTCCTTCTCTCATCTTTGTTGAGAGCTCTTTCAGCATCGGTAGCCTCAAGATGTGGGAGTGTGCTGATGCTTGTTGTCGACACACTCAGCTCGCTGTTGTCGGTGTCGTACACACCAACACGCTCCTTATCGATGACCTTTGCACTAGCGGATCCTCCTTCAGGCTCCATACCTCACGCGGTGAAGCGTATACGAGGTAACCTTGCTCCGATACACTTGTAAGGATCCCTAATGAGCCTAGAGGGGGGCAAATAGGTGTATCTGAAAACTTAAAACAAACTAAAGCAGTGGATTAGTACACAGCCAGAAGTTCTGGCAATTGCTAGAACTTCTGGCAGAGCTAGAAGTTCAGGCAATCGCTTAGCAAACGTTGGAACTTCCGACAGTTGTTGGAAGTTCCGACGCAAATTGCTGGAACTTCCGGCACCCACGAAGAACTACAAAATTAGAGTCAAATTGACTTTAAATTTAGATCTATGAATTACCCCACTTCCTTATGGATAGATGAAGCTGTCCAAGTCCTTCTTTGACCTTGGAACGCCGCCGATTTGTAGATCGGGACCAAAACCTAAGAAATAGCTTGTGGGAGAGAGAGACAACGAAGAACAAGTAATCTCAAGTAATCACAACAACAAAAAGCACGCGGGACACAATGATTTATCCCGAGGTTCAACTCGCCACTAAGGCTTGTCTACGTCCTCGTTGTTGAGGTGACTACTAAGGTCGGAGTCTCTTTTACCACCTTGCCTCACTCAAGCAACCACAAAGGTAAACTTGAGTTCTTCACTAGAAAACAAGGGTAATACAAACTTCCCAAGGTTCTCCCACAGATCAGGAGCTCTTGGGCGATGCCTAGCCGGCTAGGGTTCTAAGAACCCAAGAGTAATAGACACAAATCCAACCGGCTTGACGAAGAAATCAAATGCTCAAGCTTGAATCGATGTTTGTCTCACCAAATCCCTTCTCTCAACTCAATCTCTTGCAAGATTTGAAGCTAGGAGCAAAGAGGAGAAGAAAGGGGGAGCTTGAGAGCTAGAGAGCACTTTTTCTGAAGGTTTGATTGAGTGGAATGAGTGGGCAACGGTTAGAAAAGAGGGGAGCGATATTTATACCCGAAGGCAAAAAATGACCGTTCAGATCTGAGTCGGAACTTCTGGGTCAGATCCCAGAACTTCTGGTTCTACTACAAGTTACTGTTCATAGGCTAAGTCCATTGGGCTAGCTTCGCAGAAAGAGCCAGAACTTCTGGCACCAACTGCGCCCGCTACGCGCGTCGCAGAATAGCCAGCAGTTCTGACAATAGCCAGAACTTCTGGCGCTCACTAAGACAAAGCGCGCACCGCAGACTAGCCGGAACTTCCGGCAGGTGGAAGTCCACAAAGACATTCTAGGTGCACGTGAGGTAATTTTGTGTCTCTCTTTTGATTTTAATTTTATGCTTGAGCACTCTATCTTCCTCGGACAACCTAAACTTGCATCCCTTTTTATAGTACGACATAGCCTAGACTCAAGATCAAATATCAAAGAATTTAAACACTTTTGAGTCCATCACCACATCATTTTGTAAATGTGGCTTCACCATCTCATGTATTATCCTCATTCTTATTTTACCTTCTTGTCATCTCGATAAATCTCACTAGTTCTCTAATCGTGTGGTCATTATCACCAAAACCCACAATTAGGGCTTGATTGCACTTACAGGTAACTATTGATGGTGCTGTGCACAAAAAACACCTCATAGATATCAGTGAAGGCACAAAAATTGATGGGTTCATGTGCATTCCTGATTTAGTAGAAACATTGGATGCCCAATTAGATACAAGAAAGACTCGCCTAAGGATAGTGATACTTTTTTTGTAGCTTCATTTATTCTGTCCTATTCCTCTTTGCTTTTGGATTCACCTATTCACTTAAGCAATGTGGTTGTTATTTGCCCTCCAGACTATTAAAAATAGGTGATTTTGCTTGTCCTCTTACTCTTTATCGGTTGTTGTATATCCATTGTAGCCACATGAAAGTTCATTTGAATAGTATCCTCTAGGAATGGTTGTGTATTATTTGGTACTTTATAGGCTTCCAAAGTGCTTGGCAAACATTTGAAGTCCATCACAACGTGTGGCAAGCAAGTGATTCCATGGATAATTTGTTTGGAATTAACATAAATTCCAATGTGTTTCAATTACCTTCTGCAATATTTGAAACTATCCTAACCTGCATAAATAGAACATGCTGTTGTTGATTGCCTGTGATGAACCTTTTCTTGCATTATTATATTTCAAAGCCTAGTGGAATGGGCATATTGCCATATTGGTGCAATGTAAAAAAGGGTGCAATAGCTGCATTTTGTTATATTACAGCATTTATATTTCACCTCTTCACTGTCACAGTATTTCCATAGATGAGGAAGTGTAATTACATTTCACATGCTTGTTGGTTGAGGAATCAAGCATGTAGTTATTGCATGTAGCTATTACATTACTCTGAGATTGGGATGCTTTCTTTGAGTTTGTTCTTGGTTGCTTCTAATGGATAGACTAAATACAAGAAATATTCTCAAAAGGAAAAGGCACAAGCTGGAAGGAAACAACTACAATTGTGTCCTTTGCAACGACAATATGGAAGAAACTGCTTTTCATCTCTTCTTCAGTTGCCCTTTTAGTCAAGCTTCCTGGCAACACCTTGGAATTCAATGGGATTTTACCACTAGCTTCTTCCAGATGATGATTCAAGCCAAAAAAATAATTTTTGAATCTTTCTTGATGGAGTTCTTCATCATTGGGGCATGGCAGATTTGGAAATAGAGAAACAACTTTATCTTTGATCGTGGCCGCCCCTTCTTTGATTCTTGGAGATAATTTCCTTGACGAGGCTAGGCTTCAAGCTTCTAGATTTTGCGATTCCAAAAGAACAGCTTTTCTTTTCCTTCTTGACCTCTTTGGCTGAGTTTGTTTTCTTTGCCCTTGCTTGGGCCTCCTTTCTTTGGTCTTCCCTTTGTGCAGCTCTTTGAGCTCTCTGTATAGTTGTTGTTGTTGTTGTTTTTTCAATAAAATAAAATAAAATCTACAGTGGGGGTCTCCCCTGTTGTATTCACGATTCAAAAAAAAGTTTGTTAAAACTTATTTCTTGGGTTTTTACTTTGTGATTTGCTGGCATTGAAAGTAGTGAACTCAATGAAGGTGAAGGAAGAGGTTGATTACGAAATTCTTTACAAGAAGATGGAGCGTGAGGTCGACCAACTCACGTCAGAGATGGAGAGACAACAAAAGGTTATAAGAAGTGAAAAAATGCAGATGGACAAAAGGTTGAAAGAATCTGAGAGGTCATTCCATGATTTAAGAATGACCTCTAACATGCAAATTGAGGTATCTTTTATGGTCCACTACTTTGTTTATGAGATGCAAATTGAAGTTATGCTCTGCCCTGCTGTATTTCCCTCGAATAGGAAATTATTTGTACATTCATTTTGCTTTTCACAAAAGTGTTCACAGCGTTTAGTACAACCCTCTTCAGTATCATGATATAAAACCTTGCTTCAGGGGGCAAGAATATAACAAGTGATTTATTAGCTCTGAGTCTGGAGAAGGAAAAGCGTCAATTGGAATCTGCAACAAAAAATTGACGCAGGACTTAGACAAAATGAGAGGCCAAAATAATTTGTTATCCAAATAGGTCACTGAGCTTGAGAAATTGCTCAACGAAAACAAGGTATCTTGACATTACCACCTTATATGTTTCTTTATGCATTGCTCATATTTATTTTTTTATTTTGTTCTAGTTTAACATTGTACCGCTGCTGCATTGAAAAAGTCCATCTCATGACAATGTTGTTATTCTGACATAAGATCTATTATTAGCAGCAGCAACAGCTTGAGAACCTCTCAAAAACGAAATTTCTTACCGATACAACTAAAGAGCATGAGAAGGAAATGGGAGAATTACTAAGGAAACTTGAGGAAGAAAGGTGATGTTCATCAAGCATGATAGATCGCATGAGTGTACTACAACAGCAACTGTGTGATGCTCAGAGTTCTGCCCAGGTAAACTTTAAGATGCAGCCATTATCGAATCAGATGATTCCTAGTAAATAGGAAAGTTGTGACATACTTTTGAATTCTGGTTTCTAGACGTGTCATGCTTGGAAATTATGTATTTTTGCCCCTCTTTTCTTCTGTAACCAGTACAACTTAAGTTGTATTTTAAGTGGTAAAACATAGTTTTATATGACAATAAGAGTTGCGTTATATATAATTATTTTCTCTTTCTCTCTATTTTTCCCTTTGTGTTGGTGTCCATGTTGGGTTTTTAACTCTAGCCTACCCTGACTTGCTTGGGACGAAAAGGCTTTGTTGTTGCTGTTTTAACAGTTTCATACTACCAGTCTTAATTAGACTTAATATCTGCACATTGATGGGAAATTCCCATCTCCAAAATCCAGACTAATAAAACCACTTATTAGTCATGTATCAATTGACATAATATTTGATTTTATGACTAACAAGATTGAATCTACAATGGAAAAAGCTTGTTTAACTTCCTGTATAAAATGTCTTGTGCCTGCAAATGGAAATGTGCAAGCAGGTCTACCACTTTCAACCTAATTCAATGCTAATTTAATATTGCTACTTATATTTTCACCTTTCAGTTATATAGGCTTAGAAGATGGTGTACTCAACCTGCCTCATTAGCATTGGGAATTTGTTTTATGTGCACTGGAATAAATACTGTGCAATTCATCGGTGCGTTTCAGTGAATCAAAGCATTTCATCTTATAAGTGTTTGCCAGGGTTGTATATGTTGCATGGTCAAGTTATATCCAAATGATAGAATGCTGCATAGATGCCCTTAACTGAATATGAAGTGTCACTTTTATTATTAGATAGAAGAAAGGTGACGAAAGTATATTCCAGTTGCAGGAAAGTATGGCCCGTGAATTGGAAAAGAAATCAACCAAAGCAACTAAAGAATTTACAATTCAAGTACATTCACTAAAATAAAAGGTCAGCGAACTTATTTCAGAGAAGGTAAAGCAAACCAGTCTTAGCCAATCAACCCTGTCCGTGTTTCTTATAAACAAATGGTTGTTTTTGTTTACTTTCAATTCGCTGTAATTCTCGCTTACCTGTTTCTTTGGTAGTTATTGCAGGAATTAATATATGATGAACTGAAGTCTACTCAAGAAAAGGTGCAGTAGGAAATGTGCCAGAGACAAGGCCTTGAAGATCAAATTGTGAGGTTGAAACAGTCTGTGTCTGATAATTGTGCTGAAGAGGTACATTTTTGTTATTGTACCCTTTGATATTTTGATGTTTATTTTCTTATATATAATTTTTCTCTTTGGCAGTCTAAAACATCATGTAGTATGGTTATATCTAGATCTGGATTAGGCAACACAGCTTTTGTGTCCAAATCAGGAAAATTAAGAGAGGCCCTATCTGGTCAGAGAGGTACTATATCAAAGATATTTGAAGAAGGTAACTTTACATCATGGAAGACTACCAGATCAGACATTTGTCTTTCTTGAACTGCCATCCTAACAATTGTTTTGGCCCAATTGACACCCAGTTGGTCTTCCAAACGTGCTTGCTCTGTTGAAGTCTGAGGATCTAGATGTGCAGATCCATGCTGTCAAGGTGGTTGCTAATCTTGCTGTTGAAGGTCTGGGAGTTTTCCCCTTGCAACTGTGCATATATTTAACATTTCCTTGATCTCCGTGAGCCTATTTCTATGGAAAACTTATCTGAACATAGGGAACCTACAAAAAGAAGTATTGAGGTTTTGTTATAGCATTTACTAAATGAAAATAATACCTCCATTTGCATACTTTGTTTGTTGAGTTTTTTCTCTAAATAAAAAAAGAGATCTATGTATGGTACTATGATTGCATTAAGATAGGAAGAAAGGTTAAATGTACCAGGGCACACATACAACGATCTGTGCCACACGCCAGTTGGATGAACTCTTTGAGTTCATTTCAATTTGGCTTTTGGTTAGAAGCATCGAATGGTTTATTGGACAAAACTTTTTGTAATTTTGTTGCTTTCAAGTAATGAAATTCGGTTTTGCCGCTGTGAAAAAAGGCCACATACCCAAGCGAATCAACTCACAGTGAGTTGAGACAACCTTCTTGCGTAACAGTTTTATGTTATTATTGATATGAATTCAATCTAGATTGGCCAGGACCCAAAATGAATTGCTACCCCACTGTAGCTTCTAAGATTTTTCTGTGTGCTTGTATGGTTGGGAGTATGATCTTCAAAAAAAAAAACTTTAGTACTGAGATGCATTACTATAACTTTTCACTACAACATTTCTCTTGAACAAGTAGCTATAACTCTATGTTATGCTTTCTATTCTCTAGAAGGTAGATAGTAATTACTTTCTTTTCAAATATGATGCTTTGCACAAGACCAAATCTCCAGTAATAACCATGACTGTTTCCGTACTGGTATCTATGATCTATCACTATTGAATACTTTTTTAACAAACCTATTAATACTATTTTAATGTGATGAATTTAAATAGGTTAGAACATATTAGCGGTTGAAGTAGAGTTTCACAACTCAGATTTAAAACATCTTATACTTCTAATGAAGTATTAGGATTATGACTAGTTTTTGCTCATTTGTCCTTTTTTGGGATTGCAGATGTTAATCAGGAAAGAATCATTGAGGAAGGAGGGCTCGGTGCTCTTCTATCCCTTCTATAAACATCAGAAAACACCACTATTCATCGAGTCACTGCTGGTGCTGTTGCTAACTTGGCAATGAATGGTAATTGATTCATAGTTTCCAACAACGCACCATTCAGTTTTCTCTTCAATTTGGTCGAAATGGTCCAAAAATCATCTGCTAGCTCACTGCGAGGATTTCTTAATTACCATCATTTGTACTGCAAAATGGTTGTCAACATGTGTATCTTAACCATTAAAGAATTCCTTTGACACGTGAATACCAAATTATTGCATTGCTAAAGAAATATTACAGATAGACACTTTCATCTATCATCATTACAGACGGAAATGTTCTATATGCATGTGAATTTGTTAAGCATTGCATCTCCATATAAGTTCACACTTTATTGAACTGTTTTGATGTTTTAGTCTTATATCCACTAAAGCTGAATAATCTAGTTTCAAATAGTAATTGAATCAGTAGTAAAGTTCAAAAGAATTGAATCATATTGGAAACAATGTTTGTGCAAATTTTTGCCATCTCATGGGTGGAGATTTGTTAATATGATATGCTAATATTGTCTCATCCGAACTATGTAGGGCTCTTACATCATGTCGACACTCTATATTGCAGGATCAAACCAGGGAGTGATTATGAATAAAGGTGGAGCTCGACTATTAGCAAATGTTGCTTCTAAAATTGATGATCCTCAAACTTTGCAGATGGTGGTTGGCGCAATCACCAATTTATGTGGGAATGGTACATCTTGTTGTCTTTATTTTTTCTAGTTCTTTTTATCGAAATTATGGTTAGGTTCATATACTATTGGATCTAAAAGATTAGTTGCTAGAAGTGGAATGTCTATTTTTTGGGGAGTAAAGATATGACCTATCAAATGTGTACATCTGCAGAAAAGCTGCACTTAATGTTGAAACAAGATGGTGGAATAAAAGCACTAATAGGAATATTTCGCAGTGGACACATTGGTGTCATAGCCCAGATAGCACGAGGAATAGCAAACTTTGCAAAATGTGAATCCCGGATGATAAGCCAAGGTTTGTGCTGCACTTCTAAAGATTGTGCCATTGAAGTGGAATACATCGAGTTTTCCTGATTGTTCAGTTCAATAATAGGTCACAGGAAAGGGAGGTCCCTTTTGATTGAAGATGGTGTTCTTGCTTGATGGTGGCCCATTCAACTATGTTTTCTGCTTCAACACGAAGACATATTGAGCTTGCTTTTTGCCATCTAGCTCAAAACGGTAAGTACATAGAGGTTTGCTCTCGACCATTTTGCCCTGTGTAGCCCATGAATTTGGTGCACAGTCGACATGTACAGTATCTTACCAAATATCACCCACAACTTTGCAGAAGACAACGCTTGTGACATTATTGCTTCTGGCGGAATCAAGGAGCTGCTTCACATAACGAGGGAGTCCCCGAGAGAAGACACACACACGTCCTGTTCGTTTGAACTTATCAACCAGAATTAGCCAGCCATTCAGCAATGTTTTTCTCTCACAACAAATCAACATCAGCATCAGCCATTTTTACAGCCAACCGAACAGTAGCCAGGAAGGCTTTAGATTCAAATCCTGCTTTTTTAAGAGAGATCCAATGAGTCTATGGTCAAGACAAACCTTTCGTTGTAGACTCATTCATGATACCATGCATACCCAAATGATGTATTCCATTTTCGGAAGGTCCCACGGCTGTCACGCTCATGCTCATCCAAACAGCAAAAGAAAACTATGTTTGGATGAGAGCATACAACCGCAAGGCTACGTGTGTTTTTGTGTGTGTATACCGTACCTGTGTAGTCCGAGAGCCGCCGCGAGGCCGGCAAAACAACTGCAGCCGTTTTCAGTTGCCTAATCTTTATTATTTCACATGATAAACATAGTTAAAACTTTCTTAATTGCAAGGCTTTCAAGGGATCTCATTTTTTTATTTGATTATTTCAATAAGGTGGATTATTTCAATAGGTGATGTTCAGAAATACCCAACATGTCACCGTGCCTCATCCAGGAGATGATGCCCCAAGTCCATCTAAGCCCAGAAGGAGTTCCAGGGCCAAGCCCAAGAGTGTTAAGCTGAGCGGTAGCCCTGGGCAAATTTAACCGAGAACCGAAAACTAAACTAAAAGAACCGGAACCGAAACCGAAAGAACCGGAACCGAAAAATTCGGTTCCTTATTCGGTTTCTGATATTGAGGAACCGAAATAACCGAAGAAAATTTAGTTCCTACTCTCGGTTAACCGAATTAACCGAAAGAACCGAATTACATAAATTATACTTCACTTACTTGTATTTTATAGGATTATGTTTGGTTTATGTGTAGTGTTTTATATTTGAACTGCTATATATTTGTGTTACTATATTGCTATTGTTTTCTTATATATTATTATTATTAAAAATGAATCTAGTGTTGCAAAAATTTGCCTTAAAACAAGTATATTTATTATTGTCTTGAGGTCTTCTGAAAAAATTCGGTTAATTCGGTTAGAACCGAAACCGAACCAAAATAATCGACAATCAGCTCCTAATTTTTTTTTTTTTTGAAGCAATCGGTTCCCCAATTTCTAGGAACTGTCGATAACCGAGGGACCGAACCGAACGCCCACCCTGACTGAGCGGCACTTGACGGGCACGACGCAAGACCGCAGGCAGATCGCACCAAACCCCCTACCCCCCGAAACGACTGATCCGCCGCTCCTCCGTACCCTCGCCGCTGCCGCCGCCGCCGCCGCTATGAGCTGGCAGCACCCTCGCCCTGGGCTCGGGGGCCAATACCCTGAGCTCCCCTGGCCTCCCAATGACAATGCCGCCGCCTTCAGGCAGTTCGAAGCCGCGCTCAGCCAGTACCCTTACGCCACACAAAACCCTAGGCTTGAGCCTCCGCCGCCGCCGCCAGGCACCGCCATGAGCTCTCAGCAAAACGCTCGCCCTGGGCTCGGGGGATAATACCCTGGGCTCCCCTGGCCTTCTGATGCCGCCGCGTTTGGGCAGTTCGAAGCCGCGACCAGCCAGTACCCTTACGCGGGGCACGGCGCGTCGGCGGCTTTCGCATCTCAGTTCCTCGGCGGGCACGCCTACACCACCACCGCCCTTCCGTCCTCTTCCGCCTTTGGGCAGTTCGAAGCCGCGAGCAGCCAGTACCCTTACGCTGGGCACGGCGCGTCGGCGCCTTTCGCATCTCAGTTCCTCGGCGGGCACGCCTACACCACCATTCCGCTCTCTTCCACTTACACGCCGCAGCTGAGACCAGATGGGCCGTTACCACCACCGCCACCACCAGCAACGTCGCCAACAGCAAGACCTCCTTCGGTTCCACGCTCACCGACACCATCACCACCGCCTCTCGCTTCACCATCACCACCGCCTCTCGTTTCACCATCACCACCGCCTCTCGCTTCACCACAGAAGCGGCGTTTGGAAGAACTGGAAGAGGAGCAGCCTCTAGGTCCAAAGAAGAAGAGGAAAGTGGTGACGCTTACACTGAATTACATCCCAATTATTGACTTCTTGAATGAAAATGTTCCAATTGTACCCTACACTTTCACTGTTGGATCGAGATCTGGTGTTATCCCAGCTGGTGGCCATGTGAAAACCACCTGTAAGGGGGCGACAGTGGTAGTCTGGTAGATGGGTATGTTGACCACCTCTTCAAAGTGTATGACCAAGGAAAGAGCTACGGCGGCAATTATGATCCTGATGACATGCTGGTCTCCGATGAAGATCCACTTCACGTCACAATCAGTAAGGTACCGACTTTGGAAGCATCAAGAGGCAACCTACAGAAGGACTTACAGAAGCTTGTGCACTGTGTATTGAAGCCTAGATATATCCAAGCTCCAGATCCAGAAAACCCCGGTGAAGCTGAGCAGAAGCCTGCTTATCTGGAGGACTTCATTGCCCGGGTTGAAAATTTGATGAAGCCGAAGCCAGGTCTTATAGAGGTTTCAGAGGAAGAATGGAAGGTACGGCTGCGAATCATCAGACACCACCCATTTCTCATTGAGCCTGCTAAAAGAAGGCTTCTCTTGGAAGATTACTACAAATTGTACAAATCGCTTGATAAAACAACAGCTCTAGATCTTATCAGAAGGATAGATAGTCGTTGCTATCGGAGGTGGCAGGTGCTTATTGCACCAAGGGATAGAATCATTGGTACAGCTTATTGGAAGAAGAATCCAGAAAAGTGCCCGACAGATTACTATACAAGAAACTATGCAAGATATCCAGATAAAAATGAGGAAAATTATCATTTTTTCATTTACACCAGCGAGGATGGGTACTTAGGTGTCTTCCTCCGCAACTTCATAGTACATGGACCCGAAGAACCACTGGTATATACTAATCTTATTTATGTAATTTGTTACTTACAGTCTCACATTTTTACAGCTGAAAATCAAACATACAGAAATTAAACTAGACAATAATAACAATTACAGGCCGTTGGAGTCACGCTTGAGGAATTAGAGCTCATTGTTGCCCACTATTTTAGCAAATTTTACCGTCGTTCCTGGAGGTGTTATCCAAGTTTGGAGATGAACCGCATGCAATGTAATTATTATTTTTTTTTGCTTTCTTCCATTTTTTTTTGGTTTTATTTAATTAACAATGTGATCTTCAGGGCAAATGAGATCCTTGCCGTGTATGAACAGCGGCGGTCCGTCAGCCGTGGAGTCCCGAGCCAAACGATGGACAGTTAAGACCTTAAAATTTCTTCATTCCTTTTTTATTTTGCTAGTTCACTCGAAGTGCGATGAGATAGTGTCTAATTTTGAGTACTTGTAAATCACCGAAAGCTGATGAAGATGGAGGACACACCGGAAGCTCCAAAGCTGATGAAGATGGAGGACACACCGGAAGAGCTCCAAAGCTGATGAAGATGGAGGACACACTGGAAGCTCCAAAGCTGATGAAGATGGAGGACACACCGGAAGCTCCAAGGACTGAAGGGTGAGCTAAATGGTGAACAGGTTTTACTTTGAACTGGGGTGGCGTTTGGGGTGGTGTTGATGTCTGAGACCTTGTAAAGCTGGTGCAGCCCTTGATTAAGATCGGCAGAACGCAGAACTACACATTTTTGTCATCCGTCTTCCAGTTGACATTGATTGCCGGTTTGAATATTAGTGCAATCAACAACAACAACAACAACAACAGCTTTTTTTTAGTCCCAAGCAAGTTGGGGTAGGCTAGAGTTAAAACCCAACATGAGCCCCTAGTCACGATTCAGGCACGTCAATAGCAGCTTTCCAAGCATTTGAATATTAGTGCAATGCACTAATGTATTTGGTGATGGATAGTGAGGATTGGATGTGATCTGATTCCTCCTTAACATGGCTACCCCACTTGTCCTCTTTAACATGTGCATTGGATATCATCACCCCAGTGGAGGAAACTGGGTACGCACTAGGCAACCCTGCCTGTTTTTGTGCAGGTTCAGTGGCTGAATTCTTCAGCTGTGCTACTGGATTACTAATAACGCATGGGCGTGGCTATAGAGGTATGTCTCCACCACTCCACTCTATTTCCGCTACCTTGGACCAAGTCTTGTGAGGTTTCTCAAGTATACTACTTTTGCTGCCTTGGGGTAAGAGATTTGTTTGATTGTTTCTGACTCCCCCGAGGCCCCGATCGAGTGTGATGGTTGTTCTCTGTCCATGGTCACACACAGTTGCGCTCAGCCGTTGTCAGGCCCAGGCCCTTAAGTGGAGCGTGAGGTCGTTATGTATCTGTCTGGTCGTCTATATTCTGGTGTTGGGAAATCAAGCAGCCCTCTCCCTCTGGTCCCCTTACATCGCTTGTCAGTACAGTCCGTAATCTTATTTTCCGGCCTTGGCTTCTTAATTTGGTAATAATGACAGTGCAAGCTGTAGGGATAGAGAGAGAGAGAGAGAGAGGTCATGCACAAGCAAAGGGCTACAGAAACAGTGTTACTCTACTTGATTTTCAGGGTAAAGGCTCAATGGTCATCTCAACAGGTTGGAACATTCCAACTTTCTAAGCCCATTACAAGATCTCAGAACTTTTGTCGACGGTAAACAACATTCCAACCTTCAGATACCTACTAGTGAACTCCTTCACTTACCATGTTACTGTAAACGGCAAGTGGAGTAGAGTACAATCCACAATCCACTGGACGTTCGTCTTGGCCGCCACGCCCACCGCGGCCGCCGTGGCCACCGCCAGGAGCAGCAGCAGCGCCGAGGGGACGGCGTGGCTCCTTGACCGCGAGACTACTGCCATTGTTAATCCTTCTTGAGCTTGGCAGCCGCGAAGACTAGCTTTGTATGTGTGCTTTTGTCAGGGATGCACGCTGATCGATCGTGCTGGGTTTTGGGGGATTGAAGGGTTTTATGGGCGCGAGGGGTTTGGACGCGTGTAGGGGGCGGTTCGAGCGAGGCGGGTGGCGCCGCGACGTTGTCCGGCTGAGGTGGCGCGTTGCCGCACACTCGTCTCGTCGGTCGCCGTGATCACTGTCCTTGGGGTCACTGCTTCTGGTCGCTTCGCTTCGGTGCTTTCGAAATGGTGCAGCAACACACGTACGAGAACGAGTCACTCGGGTCGCCAAGGTGGCAGCACATGGGACGATTGGCGGAGAGCCGGAGCCAAGGAGACGCATATCATGGTCGTGCTACGGGTAGAAAAAGCTTACCCACTGATCTCTCCTTCTCATAATAAATGGCGTTTTTTTAGTTTAGATATCGCCGTTCGTCTTATTTGAAAAAAATTATGTAAATTATAAATAAATTATTATTAAAGTATCTCTAATCTGTAACGATGAAATAAGTCATAACAAAATAGATAATATTTAAATAAAAAATTTAAATAAGACAAGCAGTCAAACAAGAAAGCTAAAAACGTCACTTATTTTAGGATGGAGGGAGTATACATCTCAAAATAAATAAATAGACCCTCTTTCTCATCTCATCTCATTGATGGAATTCCTGTATTTGGAAATTGGAAGGAGCCAAAGAGCGTTTGCTCTCCGGATTCCTGGGTTTCTTTATTCAAAATCAAGGCCTCAGATACAAATCCGGGCTATGGCGCTAGCGCTATGCTGCGAATCTTGCAAATACGATCCCGTTTTCATTTTGGTAAATATTAAAAGATTCCTTCTAAACCTTCTAGCGTCTTAAATTGTATAGGTAACTGGAGTTTTACTTTACTTTTCACAATACATCTTCAATGCCATCCAATTTTCCCTTTCTTAAAGAAATACTCCCTCGGTTTCCAAATAAATTAATTCTTAAAATCCGTGCAAGTTGAGTTATCTTGAGGTTAACTAATTTTATAGGAAAAAGTAATTACATCTATGATATAATTATGAAAATATATTATGTGTCATATCTAATGACACTAATTTTATGTCATAAATTTGACGGTTTTTTTAGGTGCGTGCACTACAGGAGGAAATGCAAGATACGGGCGCCGTGCTGCGGCGAGGTATTTGATTGCAGGCACTGCCACAACGAAGCCAAGGTCAGGACATCGCACTGTATCCTCTGAATTTTTGCATGTTTAGTTTCGAGCTGGTTCATACAGGATACAAATACGTGGTACTATCATTCATTCACCGCAGTTTGGTATTAACCTGATTTCCTCTTTGCAGGATTCCCTGGAGGTCAGCGTCCACGACCGTCACGTGGTTCCCCGTCACGACATCAAGCTGGTCAGTGACAGGAGGCGTTCTTTGCCTGCTGTACAGTCTACATGAATCTGCAAAAGAACCTAATATTCACATTCAAACAACAAAATAAATAATATGGCATACATCATCATAGAACACTTCGCACGAGATACAGATTAGCTTGCTCTTCACTTCTTCAGTTCTGCAGATATGGATATCAGTCACTGTCCCTTTCTTTTCTACTTAATAATTTATAAATCGTCTGAATTCTTATGAGCCTCCTCTGGCAGTGGCAAATAGTGATACTACTCCTACCTTTCTGCATTTTTTTCTGAACATCACAGGTTATCTGCTCTCTCTGCAACAAAGAACAGGATGTAAGTTTCCTGATGAAGTAGGGATAGTGTTTCTCAGGTGCTGTTGGTGTTACCTGCACATCACATGAAAATCATTTTCCTTGTTGACAGGTACAACAAGATTGTTCAAATTGTGGAGCATGTCTCGGTAAATACTTCTGCGCGAAATGCAACTTCTTCGACGATGATGTAAGCTCGTTTTTGAAGCAATTAGCGAAGTAGCTGATGATTTTACGCGCTGATCTGGATATAATTTCAGAAGTATTCCATCTTCTGTTTTCTCCGGTTTTGTGTCGTGTTCCCTGACATTTCAGGTATCAAAAAACCAATTCCACTGTGATGGATGTGGCATATGTAGGCAAGTAGTATAAAATCTTCATTATCCTTCTGTTTTCTTTCCTATGAGTCCTAAGTTATTACTATTTTTACAGAACTGGTGGTGCAGAGAATTTCTATCACTGTGATAAATGCGGTATGCTTGTTTTGAGCTAATTATTTCGTTCATTCTTCGAGCAAGAACTAAGTATTTTTTTTATTAATTCCTAGTTTAATGTCCCTACGAAAGTTTGTACTATCTGTGGGTCTGTTCTATTCTATACCTGTTTGCCGACAAGTATGAGAGAATGCTCATTGAAATGGGAGTGATTCAAGTCGCCAGAGTGGAGACCGAGCAACCTGTACCTAAACTGTCTAATGAAGTTGAAGGCTTGCATGGAGCAGTTGATGGCACAAACAAAGGGTTAGCATGTGTCAATGATGATATTCAGGCATTAAAGCTAGCATTAGTGGTTTAGATGCAAAGTTGAAGAAGACCTAGGGCAAACTAGAGTTGTTTGCATTGTTGTTCTTGCGGTCTTTATTGTTCCTGGTGTCATCATCATGTTGGTGAAGTAAAACTAGGAATTGTCATGTAAAATAGTTTCACCTAATGCAGCGTCTTGTTTCATGCCAATGAGTTCTGGTGAATTAATGATCTGGTTGTGTTTTGCAACACAGTGATGCAAGCGAGTTTAAGCTAATGCAATTGATAGCAATGTGATAAAATATAAGACAAGTTCAAAGCAATTGACAACATCTGAGATAACATCACTGAAATAGCATCCACTACAACTGAAAGCGTGGTCATTACACTACTACACTCGCACCCTTCGTAGCCGCGTCGTAACCCACATCGCAGCCGTATTTTGACCTTGGCAGTGAGCTATCGGCAGTGATAGTCGTAGGCTTCACCGTCGCTATCTCAGACCGGTTGGGATAGTCGTAACCCCCCACAGTCGGTTCGTATTACTAGCCAACGGTGATTTAAAATCCCAAAAAAATAGGCAAAAAAATAGCAAAAAAATTTGTTTCAACCCCCTCCTCTCCCTAGCTAGCTCCAGCTTCTTGCTCTTGAGAAGCTGCTCCAGATTTAGCTTCGTGATGCTGGGATTTTTCACGTGAAAATTCGCGCGCTACGCGATGCTGGGATTCGAACCTGAGACCTCTGTTCCCCTAGTATTCACTTTTAGGATTTATAAAATAAATATTTAGGACCCTAAACGGCTTCATATGAAAAAGTCATAAACTAAGTAAACATGGGCTAATGATAGATTAATTAGGCTTAATAAATTCGTCTCGCAGTTTCCAAACAAGTTATATAATTAGTTTTTTTATTAGCATCTGAATACCCCTTCCGACATCCTATGAAACATCTCAAAATTTTTCGCCCAGGAACTAAACACCCCTCAGCCAAAATTGAAGCGACAGGAAAGCTCCAAGCAGAGACGCGCCCAAACAGCCGCCCCGTCCCGGCGTCCCCGTGTCCCGTCTGGCCATCAGGCCATGGCTGGCGCCCAAGTTGCCGCGCACTCGAAAAAAAGGTCGATCAGGAGTCATCTGCACACAGGCGGACAGGCCAGAACAACAGTGAGCTGGACGACGCATCAGCGCGCTGGCACGGCCCCGTTCCACGAGACCACGACGAACCGATCCGGCCTGATGGGCGCGGCACACGCGGGTGTACCCCGGATTAGGCGAGGCAGAGTTTATGGTGACGCTTGCTTCTGCCTGCTTGGACACCGATCTGAAGCGCGGCAGGGAATCATGCAGCGGGTGGGCCTGTGGCCACGCTGGTGACCTACTGGCCTACCCAAAATTTCCGCGGCGGATGCCCCGGTTCAGCGGCGGCACGCGACGGTAGCTAGCACGGTCGTCTCAGAGTTCGGAGCGTGAATCGGCCATGTGGGCAATGGCAGGCAAACAGCCAGCCTAGTACGTTCTGCTTCCTCCGTTCCCAAAATAAATGCACATTCAAACTTTTTTTTAGTTTGACCACAAATTAAAAAAATACTATCAACATTTATATTTTTAAATAAATATATTATAAAAGTATATTCTATAATCAATCTAACGATACTTAGTATAACTCATAAATATTAATACATTTATATATATGTTTAGTTAAAATTTAAGAAATTTGACTTTTTGAGAAGCGTGATACCGAGGGAGTACGTTCGGACACCCGGTGTGCTGACTGACTACTGACTAGGACTAGTAGTAGTAAAGCAAGATGCCAGTGTGCAGATTACTAATTTGCAGCAGTGCACTGCTTGTCCAGCATGGGAATTGAACATGTAGACATGTAGTGCTCCTGTAATAAGTTGTTGACAGTAATCGATATACTTGCATTGGGCACTGATCTGGATCTGGCCCATGCTATTGGTTTTGAGACAAGTTTCATGGCTTGTCTAGATTTGAGGAATGAAGGATTTCTTTTGGAAAGGCTTGCTTTTCTATATGCAATGGAGGAAATAAAACGTCCGCTTCCTGCTAAGAGATGGACAGCTCCTTATTCACAACAACGGAGAAATAAACATGTACTCACTCCCAGTGGCGAATCTAGGATTTAAACTTTAGGTATGCCGCTAAAAAAAATTTATATACAATTTGGTAAATCCATTTTAGCAATTCAGTAACAATTGTAAATTTTATAACGTAATTTGGTATACATGCACTAAGTAACATGATAAGGCTTAAATTCAAGGATTAAGTTGAAACCATCTACTAAATACAATATAAATAGTTCAAAAGCCATACTGATAGTTTAAATATAGGCATAAAAGAGTACCAGATGCTTACAATGCTATTTTTTCATACTGTTTTATTCGACGCTTTCCAAAAAATATGAATATCTTACTATATCTTCTTCATCAACCAGATCAACCAACGGTCTTCCACCATTGGTTCAACCTGATCAGGTGGAGGATTAGAAGGCTCATATGGCTATGAATGTTACCAAATAGCTATGAATGTAGAAAATAATTTTCTAAAAAACACGAAGAGTAAAGATCAAAATTTACCTAACCAAAATAGCGAATCAAGACGATAAGTCCTGACTGGCCCAACCGTATATTCTGCAGACAGGACGTGGGAATTAGACGGCGATCCTCCGATCCAGCATTCAGAGCATGGCGGAGGGCGGCAGGGCACCAGGGGCCGCGGCCGGCCGGGGCGTCACAGACTCACATGTTAGGCGGCCATGCACGTGTTCCTCCGTGGCTCCCCGTCTGATCGAGATTAGATTAGGAAATTTGAAGGGTCATATACGGAGCGCACGTACGGACATTTGGACTTTGGAAAATTGGAGTTCCCTCGCCACATGAGCCACTTCAGTGCATCATATGGGCCTCCCGTCGTCACGTGATGGTGTCCACATATGTTTTTTTTCTTTTTTTCTTTTTAACAAATATAGCATATATACAATATAATAATATATATACTACTGTTGACCAAGTTTGCAGGGTATGCCGGTGCATACCCGGCATACCCTGTGGCTACGCCACTGCTCACTCTATTCCTAAATATCTATCGTTTGCGCTTTCTAAGAAACAATTTTGATTAAATATATATTAAAAAATATTAATATTTATATGACATAATTAGTATCATTAAAAAGTTATTTGAATCTAGTTTTTAATAAATTTATTTAGAGATATAAATTTTACACGTATTTTCTATAAATCGAATTAAACTTGGAAGGGAGGGAGTACTTATCATATTCTTGTGTTCCAGGTAAGTAACATGGACCGGGACCCCAACCCCGACCCGCTCCTCCCCTTCCTCGTCCCCGCCGCCCCCGCACCGCCGCCGCCACCGAGATCCACGCCAGCCATAGCCCTATCCTCCAATCCGACACCAGATCCGAAACCGCCATCACCAGATCTACAACCTGAGGGGTCTCACGTCGAAGCGCACCCAGCCGAGGGTGAGGTCCAAGCTGCCCAAGGTTAGGTCCATTGTGGGCCGCCGCTGCCGGCGCCTCCGCCGGTCTCGTCATCATCCACACAAGCTCCGGAGGCGCTGCGGTCGTCATCACCAGCTACTGAAGCGCCATCAATCCAGCAACCTACGCCTGCTCAAGTTCCTCCCCAGCCGGCCAGCCCCACTCTGATCAACCCTGATCTGCGCGAAAGGGGCTGGGCTCTGCTCCCGGATTTGGCAAAAGATTTGAACAGACTGAAGGAGCAACGGGCGGGAATTGAAGATGGAGAGCGCAGCACCACCATCAATCCAACGGATCCGCCAGAGATTGCTTGCAATAAATCCACCAGTCAGAGCCATTCAAAGGTGCAAGCTCCCGAAGAGGGTACAGTCAAGGAGGCTACAATCCTCCGCTCCAGGATTCCAGCAAGTCAGAAGGGGAAAGGAGTTCAAGAAAGGAGTGTCATTCATGGTGAGCAGCGGTTGTCCAGCTTTACAGAGGCTCGGCACCCATCCTCAGCAGCGCCGGAGAAGACGGCCTCTGCCTCCCTCCATGGAGCGTCGAGCTCGCGCCAGAAGGTGCATCAAATGACCCCTGCCACCAGCGAAGGTCCAACAGAGGACGCGACTTCCACTTCGCCCCCTAGTCCGAGCGCCTCCACGCCACCAACACCAGCTGGGACTTCCGCGTCAAGGTCCGCATCGAGGGCATCCCGATCCACTGCTGGGCGTAGGACGTGGCGGCTCAGGCATTGGGAAGGAGCTGTGCGGTGCACTATCTGGAGGAGAAGACACGTCGCCGCGAGCGCACCAGGACATTTGATCTGTGGGCGTGGTGCTGCGACCCCTGTGACATCCCCAAGGAGGTGGTGCTCACGGTCACCGAGCTGGACAGGGAGCTGCCACACCACGACGCCCCGGCCGACATCAAGCGCGCCCAAGTCTTCCTCCTGCGCAACCACCTGGAGTTCGTGGAGGATCTGACGTTCTTGCAGGGGCGTGGCAGGCTGGGCGGCCTTCGGAACCGCAAGCCTCGTCGCGAGCTGGTCTGGTCCTACGGGGAGCCAGACTCGGTGGGTGAGCGCCTCCCCGGCGGACGGGGACAGGATCGCGGCAGGGACAGTGGGCGCCACCACAGGCGGGACGACGACGACTACGACTACACACGCCGCAACCAGGGCATTCGTCGACACTGCAGCGTCTCCAGCTGGGTGAGGAACCCACGCTGCAGGAGTGGAGTGGAGGACTGCATCAGCACCACTAGGTGGCGCGGGGGCCGGAGCAGGGTCGCCTCGGCTACCCACCAGGCGCCTCAGATGGTCTGGAAGGTGAAGGACGCCAAGGGGGGGGAAAGAAGCAGCAGAAGAAGGTCTCCTTCGCTACACCGATTGCAACTGAGCTCAAGCTGCCCAAGCGCACGCAGCCGGACGACAGCATTATGCTCATCAAGGGTAACATCCTAAATCAGTCCTTGTCGTCTCATGTGCTTGATGTTGATGACACCCTTGTGGAGGAAAACATGTCATCATCTGAACTGATTGCACATGCAGCTATGGAAGGAGGCAGCGAGAGCCAAATCGACACCAGCATGATGCTCATGGAGGACAGCAGCATGGGGACAGAGAAGATGCAGCAGGCGCTGGCCGCGACACTCAGGATGATGGAGAGGACCCTTGCCACAGCAGGAGAGAATCTGGTATGCCCCCACACATCACAACATTGTTCTGTTGTTGAGGAACCAACTACCGTAGTAATCATAGACAACTCTGCTCAACCACTTTCTAGCACTGCTGCTCCAACAAGTAGTCCAGCGATTGAATTAGTGGAGCAGCAAGGTAGCCAAGAGATAGAAGTGATAGATCAGCTAGTAGTAGATCAGGTTGAGTTTCCAGTGGAGGACACACTCCAGCTCCCACTGAGCAAAATAATGTGCAGGACGTTTTATGTGATACATCCCAAGAGGTTAATCAGCCCACCCAGAGCAACCTATGACAATACTGCTACTCAGGATCACATTACCAACCCTGTCCCTGTTCCTACCGGTACCACAACCCATCAAGAGGAAACCACAGTAGATGGTGATCCTGGTACTAGTAGCGCAGCTGCAGCACAGCCTCAGACAGTAGAGGATTTCCTTGAGTCAGTCTCCCCACCCCTCCAACAGCCTTTAATTCCTGAAGGCTACCTCACCCCTCAAGTCCAAAACAAGAGCAAGAGTAGAAGCCACCGTTTTGACACCGATCTCCCCTCACAAAGGAAGAGCACGAGACTAGCAAAAAGGCAGAGATGAATGTGGGCAAAGATACTTAACAAGTTGCCCAGGACCTTTTGATTAAAAAGCTAGGTGATTTAGCGGGCGAGGAGCCTACTGCGATGAACAGAACCTGACTTCGATTTTTATGCACAGCACTTCCAGAGGCCGATTGAGAAGAACAAGATGGAGGCCATTCAGGTGCTGATCGAGGAGGGAAACAAGATGATGAAGATGGGCAGCATCACAGGGAAGATGACTGCTCGGGTGGGCCTGGACGCCTAGATGGGCTTCCAGCACTGGTAGATCAAGTTACCAATGTTAGCCCCTCTGCTATCGGAGGGCTGGGCTATATGCCCGTTGTATCAGTGGTGGCCATTAGGGCCCATGTCGCTATAGCTGAACTCGTTGATGAACCTGTAGCTGCTGCCTGCTGGCCCAAGAGCCTTCGGCAAGTGATCTGTAATCCTAAGAACTGGATGGGAGTTGGTGCCTGCTGGCCATCGAGCCTTCGGCAAGTGGTGTATGAACCTGAGAACTGGATCGGTTTGGGCCTGCTGGCCATGAGTAATCAATTAGTTAAGTATCTTCTGTGGTATGCTCCGTTTGTTGATGTTACAGTGAGGAGGATTGTAGGCTGGTCTGCCTCCCTTCTGTTTTCTGTCGAAGTTGTTTCTGTCCAAGTAGATCTTTTGTGGATCAATGTCAGTTAAAGATTGCAACATTATGTGCTGGAACGTTAGAGGACTTAATGATGGTGCAAAAAGAGCGAGTGTACGTAACCAAATTTACTCCTCTGGGGCGACGGTGGTCTGCCTTCAGGAGACTAAGATCACATCCTGGGCCTTGATTAGATTGCAAATTTTTGTAACCTGGACGCTGTAGCACGTTTCGTTTGTATTTGACAAACTTTGTCCGATCATGGACTAATTAGGCTCAAAAGATCCATCTCGTGATTTACAACTAAACTGTATAATTAGTTATTTTTTTACCTACATTTAATGCTCCATACATGCGTCTAAAAATTGATGTGATGAAGAGAGAAGTGAAAAAATTTGGAATTTGGAGGTGATCTAAACAAGGCCCTGGACTTAGTCTACTGGTGAAGACAGTAGGAACAGACATGGCACAAAATTTCGTCGCTCTTCCATCAATTGGTGCCTCTGGAGGGATTCTAATTGCAGTCTCTGCAAGGTTTTTTTGTCTGGACGATCCACACCTGACAACCAACACAGTTTCAGCAAGCTTAGGGGACGTTCGATAATACCAAATGGTCGATTACCGGCGTCTATGGACCACAATCGGACCATGATAAAGTCCTATTTATGCAAGAAATAGGTGGACTCAAGCAACTTATGCTCCCGGAATGGCGCTTCTGTTAGGCCCTGTTCGGTTCCTCTGGTTTGAGCACCGGGAATAATTCCAGGTTGGAATGATTCACTGATTTAAATAGTTTTGATAATCTAGAACTATTCCCGGCTCGTAACCAGTGTAACCGAACGGGCCCTTAGGGGATTTCAATCTGATTTACCGGGCGCAGGATAAAAATAATGGCCGGCTAAATCTACCACTACTCAATGGCTTCAAATCTACAATCGACAATCTACTACTTGTCCCAATCGAACTGCAGGGGAAAAAATACACCTGGAGCAGTGATCAACAGTCTCCCACGATGACAAAGATCGACCACTTCTTTGCATCTTCTGAGTGGCTGGTTATTTTCCCGCGGACGCATCTACACGCCCTGGCATCACTAGGATCCGATCATTGTCCATTATACTTGCAGGGTGATGTCAACATGGATTTTTATAGGGGATTCAGGTTCGAATCTCACTGGCCAAGCTGGCCAGGTTTCCTGGAGACAGTCAAAGAGGTTTGGGACAAGCCGGTGAATACCCAAGATGCTATACTCCGGGTTCATGTTAAACTGTTGCGAACTGCAAATGCTTTGAAACTATGGAGAAGAAAAAACTTCATTGACTGGAAAGTGCGCTGGGCCATCCTCAACATTACCCTAGCAAATTTGGAAAGGGCGCAAGAATCAAGACCTCTAACACAGGATGAATTGGTTTTCAAACGGTACCTGAAAAGCAAGGCACTTGGGTTAGCATCAATCCAAAAAATAAGGGCGAGAGAGCATTCACGTCTAACGTGGATGAGAAAAGGGGATTCAAACACAAATTTTTTCACCTGCACGCTAATGCAAGAAGGAAGAAAGTTTACATCCCATCCCTTGCTGGTCACGCGGGGACAGTGGTTGTGCAAGAGGAGAAGGCCAGTCTGATACACACGCATTTCTCTCGGATTATGGGGACACCAGACTCAAGAACTAAGGCTATCAATTGGGACGAGCTAGGGTACGTACACCATAATCTGGATGAGTTAGACGCCCCATTCACACAAGAGGAGATTGCGATGGTCATCAAAGAGATGCCTGCTGAAAAATCGCCAGGGCCGGATGGTTTCATAGGCCTATTCTACAAGAAATGTTGGACGATCATAAAGGATGACCTAACACAAGGGATCTTAAGTTTTTACTCACATCGGACGGCAAAACTGAGCCTCGTCAACGAGGCAAACATTGTGCTCCTGCCCAAGAACCAGATGGCAGCCACCATTTCGGATTATAGGCCGATCAGCCTTATCAATAGTGTGGCTAAGATCATCACCAAAATCCTTGCAAATAGGCTTGCCCCGCGTATGAACGAGCTGGTGTCATGTGCACAAAACGCGTTCATCAAGAAAAGATGTATTCATGACAACTTCATTTATGCGCAGAGAGTTACCCAACTCCTCCATCGAAAGAAAAAGCCGGCGCTCTTCATAAAGCTTGACATCTCCAAAGCATTCGATTCCATTGGTTGGTCTTTTCTATTAGAAGTCATGCAAGCGCTGGGGTTTAGCGCCAAGTGGAGAGACTGGATTGCAGCTTTAGTGGGCTCGGCTTCATCAAGAGTCCTAGTAAACGGGCAACCGACAAGGGGGATCAAACATGCAAGAGGATTAAGGCAGGGCGATCCCTTATCACCGCTGCTGTTCATTTTGGCCATCGACCCTCTTCAGCGTATTATTGAAATGGCGGCACAAAAAGGTGTTCTTAAACCCATTTTACCAAAGGCGGCCAAGGTGCTCACTATATGCAGATGATGCAGCCATTTTCGCGGAGCCGTCGGCGACTGAACTAGATCGACTACTAAAGATTTTGACGTTCTTCGGAGAGTGCTTGGGACTCAAAATAAATATCTTGAAGACGGAAATTTTTCCAATTCAGTTAGACAACACGGCAGTTTCACAGCTTCTACATAACTTCCCGGGCAAGATTTGCAAATTCCCGGGGAAATATTTAGGGCTCCCTCTTCACATTCGGAAGCTGAGAAGAATTGAGGTGCAGCCATTAATTGACAAAATAGGAGCTCGTTTGCCGGGATGGAAAGGCAAATTTCTCTCTACGGCAGGAAGAGAGACGTTGGTAAAGACCGTCCTTTCATCACAGCCCATTTACCACATGACAGCCTTCCCAGAACATAAATGGCTGATACTTAAATTTGACCGTTTAAGAAGGAGCTTCCTATGGAGAGGACAAGGTCTACGGTGTCCATTCACTCGTAAACTGGCCAACGGCCTGTCGCCCAAAAATAAAAGGAGGTCTAGGAGTGTTAGATTTGGAGCGTTTTGCGAGGGCGTTGAGACTAAGATGGTTATGGTTCCGGTGGAAACACAAGGAAAGGGCATGGTGCGACCTTGATCTTCCATGTGATGGACGCGACCGCGAGCTTTTTGCGGCATCAACGATAGTAACAATAGGCGATGGGAAGACGGCTAGCTTCTGGTCATCCTCCTGGATCGATGTGAAAACACCTAAATCCATGGCCCCAAGTCTATTTAAGAAACCAAGGAGGAAGAAACTAACAGTGCACGACGCAATACAAAGGAATAGGAATAGATGGATTGCAAACATTTTGCCGTTGCAAACAACCCAGGAGATACATGAATACGTTGCACTCTGGGAAGCTGTAAGAGAGGTGCATTTAGAGGAAAATAGAGAAGATACAATCCAATGGCGATGGACATCAAGTGGAGAATACACAACCAAGAGCGCTTATCTTATTCAGTTTGAGGGGAGTTTTACTAGGTTAAAGTTGACGCCAATTTGGAGAGCGAGGGCTGAACCTAAATTCCGCTTCTTTGCTTGGACGTTACTCCACAAGAAGATCCTTACCGCCAACAATTTGGCCAAGTGTAACTGGCCCGGCGATCCGATCTGCAAACTCTGTACCATTGAGCCGGAAACTCCAAACCATTTATGCAAAGATTGCCCATTCTCACAGCAGGCATGGTCCTGCCTAAAACGATGGTTAAACCTTGCGGTGATAGACTCTGTGAGCATGTCGGGTTCGATCCATGGTTACTGGCGTAGATGCCGGGCCAAATTCGACAAGACAGAAAGGAGGAGAGTAGATGGAATCATATTATATTTTTGGTGGAATATCTGAAAGGAACGCAATCGGAGGACATTCCAACAGAAGTCGCTCTCTCCAAACCAAGTAGCGCAACTTTGCAAGGATGATATCCTACAGTACCATATGGCCACATCTCTGACAAGAAGCGATCAGTAGCTGTTCCGGTTCAGTTGAGATTGTAATTGTTTTCCTGGGAGTGTGGAGTCTTCTCATTTTCTTGGTTCAGTATGCTGGCCTGCGTGCCATGGTAGTGTTAGTAGCGTTAGTAGCTTTAGTAGTTTTCATAGTTGTGGTCAAAGTAGAGTGGTCGGAACCAGTTGTAACCGTTGTTGTTTTTTTATTCTTTACTCGTCTAATAAAAATATGGCAAAGCTCTTGCCGCCTTTCTAAAAAAAAATATTCTTGTGTTCCAAGTTCCAAATAAATGAACACCTATTCCTTTGAAATTACTGTATTTTTTGGTTTATTGCTCTGTTTTGCATTCATCCATTCCAAACATACCCGCCCAAAAAAATGGAGGGAAAAATGCTACAGGGAACAAAGCTGCCGGCCTATAAACAGGCATATCCATGTGAGTTCCGTGGCCTGCAGCATCATAAATTCTTGATTCACCTGTTAGATATATGGATCATGATCGTATCCGGTTCTCTTCAGACGGCACCTAAAAATATATAATATCTTCATACCTTGATTAAACAGATCGGGGAAACGTACTGAATGCAGGGCAAGAACACTATCGACATCCATTGCAAGTCACTGCCTGACTGGTCCGACGTTGCGTAGGCTTGTCGCCAGCTAAATAAGGATTGGCGTTGCGCGTCCTCATCGCTCAGCCAATGCACTGTACTCCTAAGCTCGATCGAGTGCCTCTTGGCCACTTGGTGTTTCCAGTGACAAATCGATCCAAGGCGGCGGCACTCACGGGCGTTCCATACTTCCATAGGCGGCGGGGTTGGTTCGTCCGGTCCGCCATGCCCATGCGCGAGGCTGCGCGAGACCGATTGTTCCATCCCTTTTAAAAATGCGCGAGGCTGTGAAGATTAAATGTAGAAATTACGACGAACGTTTTAAGCGCAATTGGTCGTATTTGAACACTATTTACTAAATAAAAACAAATACGCGAGATCAAATACGACTAAACACAGGCTCATTCTCTTTCGCGGCGAAACGGCAACAGGATCGACAGGCGGCTGACCGCGACAGGCCGGGGCGGCCGGCCGGCCCGCCAGAGCAAATCAGCCAGCGCCGTCCACACGGCAGCGACCCGTGGCCGAGGCCGGAGCCACTCGTTTCCTCCACTGCACTCCTGGCGGGCTGCTGCCAGGACGTCACGCCAATCAGCGCAAGAGCGCGGCAGAGTCTCCTCGTCGACGTACTGTACTTGCGTGATCGCGCATCCTAATCAACCTCATTTGCCAACAATCACATCATAATTGACGACGGAAAGCACAGTTAAGTCCAGAACTTAGGCAAAAGGGATGTACCCAACACGCCGATCGATCGATTCGAGCGCGTGGCTTGAGACGAAGAGATAACGCTAGGCTATGCAGACAGCGACTTGCCTGGTCCCTGGTGTGGTCCAATCGCTTACATAAATATCCCAAAGGGATAGCCCTTGTTCCATCCATCAGTGGTTAGGACTCGAATAATTCGATGACAAGCTAGAGGGGATCATTCGGCACGAGATTCCAACAGGCTCAGGCTGGCTTGATTTTGCGTGTCCCAAATCTGAATCATGTGTGGACGCACAAGACATGCTTCGAGATAGACAAGAAAACAAGACAGAATTACTAGATGTCTTCATCTACTCATCAGTCGTCCTTAACTATTACAGTATCTGGACATCATCAGCAGTTAAGAGTAGAACTGTAGAATGTTTCATGTTAAGAAAAACGAGGCTTGTCCAGCTACCACAAAGAGGACGAGCAGGGTTGACTTGAATTTCTATCCACATGCTGACATGCTCATGTCATGTGCCACGGCAGTCTCTCTGCGCCCTTAATTTCTTTTTCAGGTGATAAACGCTGTTTAGGAGATTTGGATTATATATATCAGATTAATACAAGGATAGAAGAAGATAAGAGGTGTCCGGTCACCGATCGGCGATCGGCGACGTGCAGTGCGGTATCTGCTCTTGTCTGTCTCAGGAGTTATTAGTGGTGGACCTGCCGGCCGGGCGTCAAGCTGGCAGAAGAGTCCGGACGCATCACGCATCCCCGGCGCCGCGCGCGCACAGCGCCAGTGTACCCTGCGTAGTACCTGCCTTTGCACGAGCCCGCCCGAAAGGCAAATTCCGCGGAGCACCCGAGAGCTGCGTCAAATCCGCCGTCGTCATTCTTTTGAAGGGAGTTGTTGCTTGGCTTGCTGCTGACTGAACTAGTTTAATCTGCTAGTTTCAGTAGCTTGCAACCACCAACACTGACCACAGCGTATATGTTACTGGATACACCAGGGAGTGCACGCTTTTGCTATGTAGCATGAACATGGCTCTGTACTAGCTTGGTCATCGACCGTGAAGAGCATATGTTACTACTGTTTCTTTCGGATTGATCGGATCATAGCAATGCCCATTGCCTCTGTCAAGTTCAAGTTGCCAACCACCGTCCTTACCTACTGCTCGGAGTAGATGCCATTGCCATCCATGGAGGACCATGGATGCCCACAACGCATTTATGCCTACTGGCACCACCACTCGCCATCGATGGGTCTCCATTTCATGAGCATGGGTACTACGAGCGAGGCAGCGAGCAGGTCCGGAGGACGTACTGCGCGAGGCTCCGCATCGCGATGGATATGATGCATGCAACACGAGCCGGACCACGTC